AAAAAAAAAAAAAAAAAAAAACAGAAAAAAAAAGAGCGGAGGGGGGGGGGGGGGGGAGAGAAAGGAGCTGTCAGTGCAGAAAAATCTGCATATGGTAATCAGAGTTACCCTGAGTACAGATTTATTTAACCATGGCAACTTAAAAAATGAAAAAGAAGAAATGGTGAAGAGAGACAGTTTACCTTATACTCTTAGAGCAAAAGCATCTATACTTAACTGTTAAAAAAGATTTTCTGAGTGAAAAACTTATTTCTACTTTCTGTTGTGGCAAGAGGAAAGTTAACTTCATTATTAAGATAAAAGTTTTCTTCAGTGTTCCTTATAATCAGTACACACAGTAGACAGAATTAGTATTTTGAAAACTTTCTAAATAGAAGGAATCATTATCAAATAATCACACTCTGCTCACTGGAAACTGGAAACTTTTCCATTTTAATTCACAGCACTATCTTAAATGAAAGGTAAGGAAGGAGTGCAAGTGGCAAAAGTCTGCTACTTCTCACGTTAGATAAAGTGGGGGTATTGTTTTCTTCTAGCTATTTTTGAACAGCTTCTTAAAACTTTTATCATTTTCCTCCCACTGAAAGCAGTGGAAAATAAATAATCAAGAGAATATAAAGAATCCAGGGAATTCATTGGTATAGCAGTGGGACTTTAGATTTTCAACAACTTTGGGAAGCACATCATTCTACTCTTCATTTCTGGAAGTTGTGCTCTAGAACATCTAGGCCACTCCAGCATCAACACTTCCATCAAATTCAGCAGCGCTCGGGAAGTTTTATTGTGCTGGCTGGCTTTGCACATTGTACTAAAAGCATGATTTAGTACCTAAACATGGTCTTATTAAATAAAATCAGTTGGCTTGCACAATATAGTATGCTAGAGGTCTTCCAACTTTTTAGGCTGTGGAACCCATTATTTAAAAAAAAAAAAATCCCTAGAACTCCTAATGAAGAGGCAAAGCTCTAGTGATAGCAAATTGGCTAACTTTGAGTGAACTTTTTTTTAGTCTTAGTCTGTCAAAGAGCCCCATAAAGTTCTCAGGGCACAATTTGAAAAGCCATGTACTATGCTATGAACCATGTCAGTGTTCACAAACCACAATAAACTAAAATCTAATAAACCCCATTATGGCTTAGCAAAGTACATACACACAATCTCTTACTCCTTTCAACTTTCCAGAGATGTTATCTGGCCAGGATAATTGCAGCTTGAAAGCTCACATAATTTTTTACCAGTTTTTCATGAGAGCTAGCTGCTTCCATCTATTGATGAGCTTATACTGACAAACTGCTCACTTGGAAAAAAAAAAAGTTACTCATCTAGATGAAATATGAGGTTGTATACTCACAAGATTGGCAGAACAATCTCTATGCATGTACTTGCTCAAAAGACAACTGCATGGAAGTTCCTACCAGTTAAGTGTGCATGATATCACTTAAGAGCTGAGGAACCTCTGGCTCTCCAGATTTTGATGAATGACTACTCCCAGCCTCAACAGGGATTGTATTGTGTTGGCTAAGGCTGCTGCAGGTTATAGTTTGGCAACATCCGGAGCGCTACCTGTTCCTCACCCCTGGACACAATGCCCATCTATAACATGTCATTTTAAAAAGTGGCCACAACAGCTACTTGCTGGTTTCACACAATACTCTAAAACATTGTTTGGTTTCATTTTAGAACCAAGCTAAATATTTGGAGGACTTGCAGGCCATCATGGGCTTTTGGGTGTTGCTCCAGGGTGGCCCTTAAGTAGGTGGGACTAGGATAAAACCTAACTTTTATATTTTTTTCAATAAGACATTGTTTTAATCACATTTGGTATGGTAAAAAGGAAGTAGACAAAACTGAGACAAAGGTTTCAGGAAAAATAGGGTTGGGCATAAGGAAAGAAAACATAAAGTAGGGAAAGGCAAAAGGTTCAGGGCACATATTTGGAGAGCAGAAAGCATGTTGGGGGTACTCTCACAAATTGCTGCCGTGGAAGGAGGGTTTCCCTATTCACAAAACAGCTGCAATTAACCCAGTTTGAATGTTTTTAATAGACTATTGTGCAGGGCTTACAGGCAGTATTTCCCTCATACTGAGTCACAAACAAGCCAAACAAATTTTAGCCTATGCTTTAATGTCGGGTGCAGATCTGGAAAACTGGATAGAATAAACACTGATCAAGTTAACTTTGCACATTGTACAAACAGACCCACTGAAACACAACAGCTGAAGCATGGAGACAGAGCAGCAGGTGCTATATGGAACTAAGTGGTGGGAAAAGATTTAGTTGCTGTGTTCTGCAGGACAGGCTGCTTTTTAAAGAAATGAGCAAGAGACAATAAATTACATGACAGCACTATAAAGACTAGGGGCTTCGTGTATCATGCCAAGCATCAAGTTCTAACAATGGTTTGCTGCATAAACCACAACTGTCTGCATTCAGATATTACACCAAGCTATAAACTGCAGTGAACACTTTGAAGCCCCAGGCCCCCAAATATATCATCCCAAAAGCCCTTTCAAACCTGTCACTGAATTTTAATTTATTTAAGGGATATGCCTATTAAATAATCATCTGGATTGTATATTATTACATTTAATTACATTCAACCAAATCAGAATTAAATTTTTGTGCTGGCTTGTTTTAAAATTCATACACAATATCAGATTCACATAAACTAGGCCACAGATTGCTTCAAACTTACTTGAATAAATCCAACTTGCTATATTCACCCATAAGCCATGGTTAACAGAACCATGATTTACTTAGCTAACTAAACTGAATGGGTTTGCACAACCTAACTATTTAACTCTGCTGGCTGGCTTCACACCATCCACAGACTAGTTTATGTCTCAATCACATTTTAGCCTAGCATATTGTACAAACACAGGCATTCAGCACAGAAAGCTACAAATCATGGTACAGAAATCCTATTCATACAAAAACCAAGCTGAAAGCAAACACACCTCATTATCTGCTGTCATGCTATGTGAACTCAGTCATCGTGTCTGGAATTAAATTACATCATCTCCATCAGTGAATGCATAGACTTACGTTGTACAACTGCATGGTGTATCCCAAAGCCAGCTATGCAACTTATGTCACAATTTTCTACCGGAGAACATGAACCTACATCGGGGTCAGCCCAGCATGCATACTCTGAAGCACCAATCCTACCTATGGTTTCCTCCTTGAGGAAACAGTGTAAAGTTGGATAAACCTAGTCCCGTGTTCGTATAACAGAAACAGGGGGAACTGAATTAACCCAACTGCACATTCGTACATCCCGCTAACTAAGCAAATTGGCTGGGATCGCACCAAACACTAGCCGACCGCAATTCTATCTAGCGTGAAACCGAGGAGTGCCTTCTTGACGGAAACCACAGGCAACTCCCGGAATTTATTGTTCAGAGGAGGGGAGGTGCATCTCAAGAAGCTGCTGAGTTTCAAAAGTACAGTATGGAGTAAACGCCAGCAGTTTAGGCAGCTGTCCATCTACAACCGCCTCCACTCGGAACTCCCACAGGCGGAAGACACCCCGAAGAAAGAAAAGGGCAGAGCTTCCTCTGTCCAGTTAGAACGAGCTACGTCATAATCCCTCTTCCTCTGAGCACGCGCAGTAGCGTGGTGCTGGTTCTGCGCGGGAGTTACGGAGCGGCAGCGGATACGCTGCAGTAGTTTATTCCGCGGAAGAAAGAGTGGTTGTGTGAAAGGGTATGCGATATGGAGCACGCGCCCCTGTCAAATTAGCTTGTGAGAAGGTTAGTGCGCACGCTTCGTCCCGGATGCTTTTGTTTTGCGTATCCGCCTTCTAAAGCGAGTTTCGGGTTTTGTTCTCTGCAGCGGTGTGGCGAGTACTGCAGCCCCGCTTCTTGTTTGTCGCTTTATTGAGCGGGCAAATGTTTGCCCTTCAGTTGTCTTGGACTACAAATTCTGTGACTCCCTATTCACATGAGGAAATGGTGACTAGTAATGACGGGAGTGGGAATCCTGTGCATCAGTATGCATTGGGTTGGGCAAAAGCGTAATAAATTATCTCCACCTTTTAGGAAGTCTGGCCTTTTGGCTGTTTCCTTTTTTTAAAAAAGACCTCAGATTAACAACCATCTTTGGCTATTAGTGGTTAAGGTGATGATTTTATTCCACATACACCTATAAAGGAATACACCTCACTCAATACAGTGATTGTGCATCAGTATGCATTGGGTTGGGCAAAAGCGTAATAAATTATCTCCACCTTTTAGGAAGTCTGGCCTTTTGGCTGTTTCCTTTTTTTAAAAAAGACCTCAGATTAACAACCATCTTTGGCTATTAGTGGTTAAGGTGTAACGAAATACGTTTCCTGGGAATCACTGTATTGAGTGAGGTGTATTCCTTTATAGGTGTATGTGGAATAAAATCATAGCTCAAAATGTAGGGTCTCTTATTTGAAACTCAGATTAAGTCTCCTCTCTGAACATAAACAAGGAGAAGCAGTTACCCTGTTCTGGACTTTATTTACTACATTTCCTTGCAACAACTATGCTGACTGGGAATTTAGAGGGCATTACATTAATATTGAAAGTAACTCAGAAAATTATATTAAAGTGTCTTAAATGCATTTTCATTTTTACTTAACCATCCATTTTCTTATATAAGTAATAAAGTGCCTTATAAGTATCCACTATTAGCAGGGTTGAATTGTGAAGTAATTCTTTTTCGATCTACCCTATTTGAGACACATGCTAATTTGAGGGGATAGTTTTAATAAAATATCTAGAGCTAATTTTTTGTTATTGTTTTTGACATTGAGCAAGAAAAAATTGCAAAGATATGAATATACTTTTCTGATCAAATAATCATTTTGTTCTGTGTTACACATTCTAGAATAAATCAGTGTGACCTGTCAAATGTAACTGTTAGTAAATATAGTAGTAGTCAGGCTGTTAGGCTCTGGACTGTCAGCTGAGCTGAACCCTCTGTCAATGGAGGGAAGCAGCTATATCTGTGAATTCCTACTTGTTATATGGCCCCAAACAGCTTTTCAGTATCATACAGTCATGGGGTACAACATGCCTGGAAAGATTCCAGAATGAGAATTAGTTATATCAGCGTGAAGCCTGTGTAGATATTTTTATTGTGATTACAATTAATTGGAGAAGGAAATATAAACAGACATTTGGGACAAAAGCAAAGGTAACCCTCTGTCCCTTCTCCCTTGCACACTCGCATTTCATTCACACTGATGGTGGAAAATCAGTGCAAGATGGGAATTGGTGGAAAAATTGTCTTTTAATTCCATTTGCAACTTCATCCCTGTCAATCAAGGGACATACAAGAAAGAATAAAAAGTAGGTTGTAAATTTTTAAAAATTCATAAGAAATTAAAAGGTAATAATCCCAAGAATAAAGGGAAATGTAACACCAAGCTTAAAGTTGTAATGAACAAACTTGAGAAGAATGAAAGGGTCTCTCGACTGAGGAAGCCTACTTTTTTTGTAGGCGCTACCATAATCTCTGTTAGTGGGGACATTCCAGAAGGTCCTTCCCAGAATGTCAATTCTACCTCAGTAACATAATGTAAATGAATACCGAATTATGGCACTATGAAGGACAAATCTTGCATCTCTTGGACTCACTGATCTGGTAAATACATAACATTAAGTGTTGGTTTGTTGAATCATAGTTGATTTAAGGTAAAATTGGCTGGGCTCGTGCATCTACAATGATTAGATTTATACATTATGACAGAAAAGCAGGATATAAACTGAATAAATAATTGAATAAATAATCACATCCCAAGGAAAAATGAACCTGCACTATGGCATAACAGAGTATGTAAACTCTGTGAATTGATGCTCTACAGGTTAATTAAAAAGGAAATAAATGCTTCCAGTCTCATGACTATGTAAAAAGAAAAGAAGGAAGCACATAAGACCTTAGCATCTATCTTATAATTATTATAACTACAGTTTATTTGGACTTCTCCAACTTAATGCCATCAAGATTTGTTGGACTGTAACTTCTTTATCCAGCCAACTTGATAATTGGTCGTGAAGAAGATTTTTAGTCCAATACATCTGGGAAACAACTGGAAAATATTAAACTACATCTAGTTTAATGCTATGTTTGAGATGACACAATGAATTTAGTTGATAGTTTTAGGATTCGTACATACTCAGATGCTGAGCTGATTTGAAAACTTATTGGGCCTTGACACATTTCTGAGTCCTTGTGGAAAATCTATCACATTCTGCTTTAATAGGTAAGATTTAGTTCTGATAATTCAGAAAAACAAACGTGGAAAAATATATGCTGTGTATTTGTATTTTTCCAGGGAGAAGTGTGAATGAACAATGGATTATGATTCTAGCACTCACTCCATGCCTTCATCATTTACAGACAGCTTAGAGGCCACCATGGAAATAGAGGGACATTACCCCAGAGTTCTTGCTTTCTCCTGTGTCTCTGACCTTAGAAGTGAAGGAAAAAGCTTTTCTCCTGATTCTTATTTAGCAGGTGGTTCTCTTAAGAGGTATGTAAAACTTAAAATGCTGCTCTTGGGACTTTTATTTTGAACATACTATTAGACAAGCTGGATTTTACTAAGAATGTTCCACTACCATAATTACTTGGAATAGTATTAAAATCCCTGGTGTGTGAGTATGTTCAGAACTGAGAATTTGGAATGTTTAATTAGCTTCTTCTAACAGCTGCTGTGTGCCACTATGATCCCATTAGTGTTTTCGGCTTTTGTTTGAATAGATCTTGGGGATAATTCTTATATTACTGTTATGGTATGAATATCTCTAAAAGATTTCTTCTGCTTAGGTTGGGCTATATGATGTATTAGTAGCGTATTTATAATGTTGATTCTGTGGCTAGCACTAGTGATTCAAAGAATTATAAAATATAGGCCATGAATCATTTGTTACTGTGGGTGATCTATGTGTTGGTGCATATATATATATGCAATATATATATATATATATATTGCTATTGGAATCTAATCATAAGGAGGACAAAGTTCTGTAGCAACTATACTGTGAATATGGAAATGTAGAATATAGATATCATGCCCTAGAGGAGACTTCCCCAGCCTGGTTCCTTTACATCAGTGATTTTTAAGCAGGCCTGTGGTGGTCCATGAGGCGGTCTACAGCCTCCCCATGTTCACTGCCAATCAGCTGGCTGGCGCTCACTCACTACTTTAGCTCTTGCTTCTTCACATTAACTGCCAATCAGCTCCTTCAATGTCATATACCCCTCCAAGGTAATGTCATACAACTTATGTCTCAATTAAGAGATCCCTCTTTGTAGGGCTAACAAAATGGTGGCACTTGATCAGATATTTTTCATACCACTATCTGGAACCCATGAGACAATATTGCTAACAGGGAAAAGGAGGAGAGTGCAGTATTACCCCCACTCCCAACTCATCTGTTCTCTTCAAAGTGGTAGGCCAGTTGCTGTTTGTGCTTTTCTGGATTACAGGAGTATTTTTGTTTATATTTGCTGTCACTTACGTTGGGTCGTTGTGACTGATTTATGAAATTGGATCACTAGATGAAAGCCAATTTATTGAAGTGTAGAAGTGATAATACAATAGCAAGAAATGAGAAGAAAATAACCAACATGAACATGTCTTAAATACAGTTATCAACTGTGTGGTCACATGTGCTATGATCTCCCATAAGCAACCCAGAAAGAATAGAATATATGATACTATCTAAAAATGAGATTTCTTTGAGCTGGAGATCCACTTTCCCAGACCCCTATGCGTTTTATGTTAAGAAACTTTGTTAGTGCTACAAAGCTAAATGTTATTATAAGGCACAGGGCACCTGAAGTAATTCAAGTAGCAAATAAATAGTTACATTTGGATTAGATTTTTGATACTGTACACAATTTAGTTTTAAAAGACCTTCTAAAATGGAGTGGATGGGAACACATACACCAATGGAAGTATAACAGTTATCTTGTTCACCAGTGAATAAGACTATGATATATTAATAAAATACAGACTGAATGCATGCGTGACAACCTTCCAGTTGGGTGGATGCTGGGATCAGTTGGAAGTTGCAGCCCCCAGTTTATCTGGAGGGTACCCAATTGAAGAATGCCTATCGATATTGCTCAAGGATCTATAAGCAATGTTAACTTTGTTTTTTAGGATTTTGCTGGGGCTGGATCCCTTTCCAACTGATTATGAAGAGGACATTGTGGAATTATTTGATTTTCAATGGGTTACTGAAATTGCTTTAGTTGAATCTTGTACACTTCTCTTTGGATTATTTAGGTATGATTTTTACCATTATCATCCCTAGAACATATTGTGGTTATTATATTGCTCCATGTTTCTCAAAACATACACCCTTCTATTTTGGGCCATTTACTCTGAGGACTTTCACTCACTATATTATTGCAATGTATTGTTACTGAACTTTAATGGGAGTTCAGAAGCTGTTTATAAAGTAAACTCTTAGTAAAGATTGAAGAGTCCATCCTCCTCTGAAGAGTCACTTTACCTAGGCTGGCAAGCTTGTTGGCATGGGTGACTGGCAAAGATGGACTCTTTGGAATGATATTTTTAAAAAGAAAGACTAAGTATATCACTATTATACACATAATGCACTATGATATAAAGAAACAGTCCACATAAAATCTGAATAGCATGTGTGCTGTGGGACTATCTCAGAGCCTTGATGCACTGAATAAATCTTAGCTCATCTTCTCAGCTTTCTGGGTGGGGTGGGGTGGGGTGGGTAAGTAAATAAATAAATAAATAAATAAATAAATGGCACAAGTATAGGATAGAGGAGACCTAAATTAGAAATACTACATCTGAAAAGGAGTCCTTGTTGACCACAAGTTAAGCCTAGTCAGCAGTGTGATCAGCTGCTGAAAAGGCAAATGCTATCTTGGGGTGTATCAGCAGGAGTCCAGAGTCCAGATAATAGGAAATAATTGTTCTGCTCCACTCTGCCCTGGTCCAGTTTTGGACTTCATGCCTCAAAAAGTAGTGACAAGTTGGAGCAAGTTCAGATGAGGGCTACTAAGATGAAGGAAACCAAACCCTGTGAGAAATAGTTAAAAGATCTGGTATCTTCAGCCTACAAAAAAGATGACTAAAGAGAGAGGTGATAGCAGTCTTCAGGTATCTGAAGGACTGTCACACAGAAGAGGGAATGGACTTACTTTATGTTGGCCCAGAGGCAGGAGTAGAACTAGTGGATTAAAAGTAAAGGAAGGAGGTACAGCCTAGACATCAGGAAGAACTTACTGACTGTATGAGTGATCAGCCAGTGGAAGAGGCTGCCACGTGACATGCTGAGTTTTCCTTCACTAAAGGTTTTCAGATGTAATCTGGATGGGCATCTGTCAGAAATGCTCGAGGGGATCCTGCGTTGAGGAAGAGGTTAGACTAGATGACCCATCTGGTAACTTTCAATGTTATGATTTTTATGCTTCTCTGTGGTGAGGCTCTTGTGAAACACACTGCTGCTGGAGTTCAAACAGATCTTCTTATTACAGTCTGCAAGGAAGCATCAGAGCTTTTAGAATTTTTGTGCTTTATATATCTTATGAGTATGATTTTATAATATTTTGGTAAATCACCTTGAGCCTTTGTATCTACCCACTGGATTGTGTTTATTCTTACAAACACATACACACACATACATATACACATAAATAGAGGACAGCACTTGGCCAACCCTGTCTGGGCTCAGAAGCTGTTTAGTACAGATAGTCCTTGGTTGACAGCAGTAATTGGGACTGGAATTTCTGTTCTTAAGCGATGCGATTGTACAGTGGGACATTGCATGTCCATATCGCTTAGCGGCAAGTCCCCATGCTATTGTTAAGTGAGGTTCGTGGATCATGAACCAAGGGCCTCCTTGCAACTTGCTGCTGGCTTCCAACAACCAAAGTCAGTGGGGAAGGCGGCAGAAAGTTGCAAGTCCCAGGTAGCTTGCAAGCAGGCTGGCAGGCAGATAAATGGCTGCTGCCACGTGGGAAGAGTGCACAGGGGTGTGTGGGTAGCCAGCGAGGTGTGAGTGCGGTAGGGTTGGGGTGGCTGCCACAGGGTGAAGGTGCATGAGGGGCAGGCATGGTACGAGCATGGCGGGACTTAGGCTGGCTACTGCAGGGTGTGGAAAGGTATGAGGGTACATGAGGAATGGGTACATTGTGGTGCAAGCATAGCAGGGCTTTGGGCGGCTGCTGCAAGGTGGGGGAGAGTGTGCAAGGGGCTGGTGTGCAATGCAGGGTGTGGAAAGGTATGAGGGTACACGAGGAATGGGTACACTGTGCTGCAAGCATGGCAGGGCTTTGGGCGGCTGCTGCAAGGTGGGGGAGAGTGCAAGGGGCTGGTGTGCAATGCAGGGTGTGGAAAGGTATGAAGGTACACGAGGAATGGTGCAAGCATGGCAGGGTTGGGGTGACTGCTGCCAGGTGTAGGAGACTTACCATTGATTTGCTTGTGGGAAGCTGGCAGGAAAGATCACAAATGGCTATCACATTACTGGAGCACTGCAACCATCATAAGTGCTAGCCAGTTGCCAAGTGCCCAGATCACAATCATGTGACCGTGGGAGTGCTGGGACAACTAGAACTTTGAGGACCAGTCGTAAGTACCACTCATTCAGCACCATCGTAACTTTGAATGGTCGCTGAACGAGTGGTCATTAACCAAGAACTACCTGTATTTGAATGGAAGAGCTCCTGGGAATTCCAGGGTTATAAGCTAAACTGAGAAATGGGGGGGGGGGGGGGGGGAAAAATTCGGCAAGTTCTGAAAGAAGGCAGGGGCAAATCACTCCCATTTTATGCCAATAAAACTTCATGGACATGTCCATGAAATTGTCAAGAGCTGAACTTGATTTGAAGGAGACTACCATAATTACACACACATGCATCCACATGTACACATAAACAAATACTCTGTTATTTTCATGTTGCGTAGTTTGTTTCATTGATATTTTTCTGCTTAAGGTGGTAGTTGGGTGAAATTGAGCTCTTAGCCTATGTTGCAGCATGCTCACAAAAAGTTTCTTAACCCTTTTAGTGAATATGCCATTTCCTTCTGTAATAAATCATTTTGATAGTCCTTAGAGATTCTGCCTGTCAAAGCCAAAACCTCAACTACTTGCTCTGATATTTCTGAGAAATCATTATCATTCCATAAAGTTGTTCTTTGGGGGAAAATAGGATTAAATTCTATCATTCAGTGAGTTAAAAAGGCTTTAGAGGAAAGTGCAAAATTGTAGCTTCCATGGCATTGCTTCAGACAGTTAATGCAGAGAGTAGTGATTTGCAGAGGAAAAGAGACAGTGGGTTGGTTGCACTTAACTCTTCCTCCATTTATTGAATCTGCTTTTCGACACTTTCCTCCACCACTAATTTTTGCAGGTTCTCTATAGCCATACTCTAGAAATAAGACTCTTTGGAAGGGGAGGGAAGGAAAAAGATCACTGAAACTTATTTTATAGGCTAATTTGTGATCACCATAGTGCCTGTCTAAGGAGTCTCTCCTCTTACTGACACATCTTTGTTTTTATCCCATCCTTGCATTTAGATTATGTTGGTAAATATGAGTTTTGGAACATGGATCTGTAGGTTACATATGCTAAAGTTTACAGTGGCTTATTTCCCACAATATTAGTACTAGGCCATAAACTATAATATATAAGTAGCAGTTGCAGAGATCACTCCACTAGCTAATCTGAAACCTAACCAAACCAACAGCTATATTTTTAGCAGTGTTATAATTACACTGTAATTGTAGTTAGGGTGGCTATACTACATTGGTGCTTAAAAGTTTGTGAACCCTTTTGAATTTTCAATATTTCTGCATAGCACCTAAATATTTTGCTTTT